GTAAGTGTGTGTGTCTGTGTGTCTGTGTGTGTGTTCACATGTGCACTCTCATGGCACTGCATATGTGGAGGTCATAGGACACCTCTCTAGAGTTGGTTCTTTCCTTCTGCGATGGGTCCGGGGATGAAGCTCAGGCCAGCAGGCTCGGTCGGCAGCACTTCTACCCACTGATTCACCTCCCTGGCACCTTGTTTTATCTCTGAGAACTGTTTCTGATCCTCCTAAATTTATCTGATTTCTTGTCTTCTAAAATTTCACTGAGAATACAAATTTGAATTTACAAAGTTGTCTCTTTTTTGTTATAATCATTCTTTTTAAATAGAAACCGTTGGTTCTGACCCATCTGCTAGTTCCTGCGTGAGAGCTGCTGGGACGCCTCGGATGACTGACACGATTGTTGCTGATGTTCATGAATATGGAAAGCTAGAGATGAGCGTGAGTAGCTCTGCTGAGGCTATGCTCGACGGCACAGGTGTCTGTGAGAGCCCCACCTCTTCCTCAGCGTGCATGGGAGGGACTTCAGGCTCAGCTTGCATGGGCCAGCAGTCAGCGCACAGCTGGGACCCAGGCCTGTTCTTGCTGTGGTGGTTAGATATTCAGCCATGCCAGGTTCCTGCTTCTCAGGAAGCATTCAGTTTCTGGCCTGTTGATGTACTTGTAGGTTGTCTCTTCCTCCTCTTCTCCCCCCTCCTTTTCCTCCTCCTCTCCCTCCTCCTCCCCTCCTCTCCCTCTCCTCCTTTTCCTCCTCCTCTCCCTCTCCTCCTCTCCCTCCTCCTTTTCTTCCTCCTCTCCCTCTCCTCCTCTCCCTCTTCCTCTACTTCCTCCTCCCCTTCCTTCTCTTCCTCTTCTTCCTCCACCACCTCCTCCTGCACCACATCTTCATTTTCTTCCTCCTCCTCTTCCTCCCTCCCTCCCTTCTTCTTTCCCTCCTCCTCTCCCTTCTCCTCCTCTTTTTAATCCACCACCTCCTCCTGCACCACATCTTCATTTTTTCTTCCTCCTCCTCCTCTCGCTCCTCCTCCACCACCTTTTTCTTCCCCTCAGTCTTCTCATCTCAATAGGGTTCTAAGAAGTTGTTGTAGCTCCAACTGTTATCTTGAAATCTAACCCGAGCGGTTTCCTGAACGTGACATAACAAGCCTGGGTGCACCACCCCTAAACCTCTAAATTCCTGTAAGGGCACTTCTTGCCCTGAGAGCTTACTCTGGCCATCAGAGCCTACTCTGCTTATGTGCCGCCCGCTGGAGTTTGACACAATACCCTCCCCCTACCCCATGCACACTCACACCTTTCAGTAACCAACTGGAGTTGGTCTACCATTCTGCAACAGTCCAGCTCTGGTGCACCAGGACTGGGCCCTGTGTGCCCTGAGACTGAAGAAAAAGAGGCAGACAGATCAAGAATTGGAAAGAAAAATTTATTAACCTTTATGTTAGTGATGGAAATGTGGTCCTCACTGGCAGCAAGATTAGTTGGGTCCCCAAAATTTGGGTCAGAAAGAGGGTAGATTTGTGGGTGAGGACAAAGTTGACTTCACTGAGAATGGAATGTACCTGGGTTTTCTTAAGATCTATGGAAGAGTCAGGAAAGTCTCTGGAAACAGGGGTCAGTTGTAAAGTTCCACATATGATTGGGGTGGAACCATCCATTAGAGTTTGCTGGGAAGCTGTGCAGGAAAAGCTGACTAGGATTACTAGAGGGCAATCCTGGTGCCTGTGACTTAAGATGGCTGCAGTCATTTAAAGCTGAATCCACAAGGATATAAATACCACAGTACCTTTGTTCTCTGGAAACTCTGAGGTTCCTGAAGATGGGTCCCAGAGTTCCTGAGAGACGAGTGTAAGCCAGCTACCCACAGCAATAACTAGCTGCACTCTTCATGGCCTTCTGTTCCTTGTTTCATTTCTTTTTTTTTTTTTTTTTCCGAGACAGGGTTTCTCTGTGTAGCTTTGCACCTTTCCTGGAACTCACTCTGTAGCTTAGGCTGGACTCGAACTCATAGAGATCCACCTGGCTCTGCCTCCCAAGCGCTGGGATTAAAGGCATGTGCCACCACCACCCGGCTCCTTGTTCCAGGGAGCACTTCCCCTTTATAAGATGCTTGCAAATGAACCCCCCTCTAAAGGGAGCCCAGATCAGACTGCTGCAGTATAGTGGCGTCTTTTGTAAACTGTCTCTTCTTGTACGAAGAATAAACTAGGGGAGAAGCTAAAGTCCACGGGAGAAGCTTTGGAAACAGGAGGGGCCATGCTGCAGAGGCTAAGTGGGGGACCAGCTGGGCAGGAGTTCTAAGGAAGACAATCACATGCATCAACTTAGAACCCCCTAGATATTTAAACATTTAAAAATCAGCATGAAGGGCTGGAGAGATGGCTCAGGGCTTAAGAATGCTTGCTGCTTTTGTAGAGGACTGGAGTTTAGATCCCAGCACCCACATGGGGAAGCCCATAACTACCTGTTCAGATACTTTATCCCAGAACTCAAGGCTGGCATGATCTCACGTCTGCCTGTTATTCCATGCCCATACCATTCCAACCCTGTTGCTGGGTGTGATGAATCTGTGCTTTGATCTTCTACTGAGAAGAAAAACCTTAGGCATCTTGGATGGAGGAAGTATTTTTCCTGCACATATCATCTCTGGTGAGGCTTCCAGTCACACAGCCTAGGACACACAACTCACGTGAGGCCAAGCACAGTCATTTTCAGGAACTGATGCAATCCCAGGGGAGAGGAAGTCTCCTCTTCCCTCTGCGGCTCTTCTTCAAGAGAGGGAAACACAAGTCTGAAGCTGCCTGCCATCACCCCTCCCCATGAAGGCAGCTTGTCTTTGGTTGAAAAGAAGAAGAACATACACAGAGAAAAGCAGAAGCCAGCCAGACAGCCAGACAGACAGACAGACAGATGAGGGGAAGACGGGCACACACCCTAACCCAGGAGCTACGTTGCCAGGTTGAGTCTGCATTCCGTGCCCCACTTCTGGGTCTCATGAACCAGCTCATTCCGCTTTTTGGTTTTACTCCTTTGGACCTTAGCTAATACTCAGCTCTCCCAGGCTGCTGACAGTTCCCATGATTCTGCTTGTGTCCCTTTCAGATTCAAGTGACACAGCACTCAGCCGCGGGGTCCAGAGGAGCCTGGAAACCTGAGGGCGGTTCCTGTGATCCAGTTTCCTCATGCTTCCGGATCTGTTTCTGGCCACACTGTGTGGTCACAGCAGATCCTCCAGGCCTTCCTGGTGCTGGCTTCTCCACTACCACAGGAGCTGCCCAGTTCTTCTGCTCTGTGTCCCTCCCAAGTCGTCCTTCTCATGGGATGTGGCCCCCGTGTACATGGGTGGGCAGCCATTTCCTCCTCCCTGGCTCTATTGCTGGTGGAAGATTCAGGAAGCCTGAAACCACAGGCTTCACATCTGAAGGCCTTTCTTACAGACTCAGAGCAAGTACCCCAAGTACCCCAAAGCCCTCCACTTTATAGAGGTTATTAGCCATGCATGCCAAATCCTCCCTCCTGTGTTTGAGCAGTATGAGAGTAGGCTTAACAGCCTTCTAGTATCCCCAAGACTTCCAAGCAAATGGGTAATGAAGGCTTGGAGACCCTTAAGCTATTATAGTTTAACTAGCTGAGTGACAAATTTCAGATGTGAAGCACACCAGGCATCCAGCGGGAGGAGTAGGACACCAGGTAGACAGGTCTAGGGGATGCCATAGATGCTTTGTGGGAAGGGGAGGGGAGGGGAGGGACACTTAGCAATTATGGCTTTGCCAAGATGGCACAGGGCACAAGCAGCATGGCCCATCAAAAGAGCCTGTGCAGTTTGCTTGACAGACCACGAGGTAGGCCAGACAGATGGACTTTGGCATGGGACTGTTCAGGTGGAGGCAGATGTTCGGCAAAGACTCTAGAATGCCAGGCACAGGACCGTGATGGTTTGTCAGAGTGCATGGGGCTGCAGTTGACCCTGGGACTCCATCTGCGAGGGTGGGTCCTCCAGTGTGTGCAGGGGGGCATGCCTCAATGCCCTCTCCTAGGGTGAGGAGAGGTGGGTCTCTTTCTTCCTGGCTTCTCTCTTCAGTCCCATTCCACCTTGTCGTTTCTGTGGTCTTGGGTCTTGTGGCTCTGACTGAAGTGGGTGGCATCTGTACTTCCTGACCCAGGATTCCCCTGTCCTCTCTCTCCTACCACTGCCATTCATGCCAAGCACTCCTCACCTGTAACTCAGCGGTGGGTCCATCCTCAACCATCCCCGCCCTGGGGCTTTCCCCTGTAACCATTTTCAGTTCATGACTCATTAGAAAGATTCCAGCTGCTCTTCCTGCTGTGAAATCTGAAGTGGAGGTTCCTGGACTG